GATCTACCACTTAACCCATAGCTCCTCTTCTGGCTTTTTGGTGATTAATGGGAGATAAGAGTCTCATGTGGACTTTTCTACCAGGCTGGCTTTGAACCTCAATCATCAGATCTCAGCCATTTGAGTTGCTAGAATTATAGACACGAGCCACTAGTGCTTAGCTATAGCAATTACTTAAACTAAGACATAGAAGTTTGTTGTAACATCTGACTATTTTATGAAAGAGTTCTCTGTAGCATGAGATGCTATGTATAAGATTTTAGCCACAGGAAACTTCTTTCAAACTGGAATCAAGCCAGGAATGAATCGTTCACAGCTGTAATTCTAGCTACTCAGGAGGCTGAGATCTGAGGATCATGGTCCAAAACTAGCTTAGGCAGACAAATTTGGAAAAATTCTTATCTCCAATTAATCAGCAAAAAAACACCAGAAGTAGAAATGTGGCTCAAGTAGTAAAACACCAACCTTGAGTGAAAAAAGCAAGAGCATGAGGCCCTGTGTTTAAACAAACAAGAAACCTGGAATTGTCTCAAACTCTACCATTAGCTTTCTTCTAAATGTATGTAATATTTTGAATTCTTTGTCATCATTTCAACAGTGGCCACAGCATCTCTCCCAGGAGTAGATTCCATCTAAAGAAACCACATCCTCATCCACTCAGATTTACAATATTATGATTTCACAATCATTCAGTCACTTGTCAGGCTCTACTTCTCATTTATTTCTCATGCTTTACTATCACAACTGCATTTACTTCCTCCGGTGAAATCTTGAGACCTTCAAAGTCATCTATGGAGATCAGAACTAAACTTCTTCCAAACTCCTGTTAAGATTGGTATTTTGACCTCTTCCAAAGAATCACAATAGGGTTTCTACACTGTAGCATCTGAAAGTGTCTTCTTTCCAGAAGATTTTAAATTTAGTTTACACAGATCCATCAGAGGAATCACTATCCATGACAGCTGTAGTCTGAAGAAATATATTGCTTTCTCTTTGCTTTCTTTTTTGTAGTTCTGGGGATTGAACCTAGAACCTCACTCATGCTAGGCAAACACTATAAAACTAAGCTACATTCCCAGCTCCATGAAATTTATTTCTTCAATATTAAGACTTAGAAGTGTTGTGAGGTGAATTTAGTTGGCAAGATACAGAGAAGCCACATTTTGAGAGGTCAAATTGGGAGTCTTTATTAGAAGGCTGGCATCTGCATGCAATTTGATTGTCACAAAGACCTACAGCCTTGTGAATAGACTGAACACGTTAGAAAACCATATCATGAGGGCAGGAGAGGAAAGAAAGAGCAGAAAAACAATACCAAAAACCCTAATGGAGAGCTGAGGTAGGATGCCATGTTGACTGGAGAAGAGCCAGGAGTCAGGACACAGCACAAGGACACGGCACAGGAGGCCAGGTGTAATGGCATTTGAGCTGGTCTGACCCTAAAATCTGGTCAGCTCTGGGGGTAAGGTCACAGAAAACTTGAGTCCAGTAACCTATCATCCAAGGACCCCCCCTCTAATCCACCCCCATCACCTGGGAGGTGGGACTTCCCTGGGTCTAAACAAGATGATATATTTACATCCTCTCTGGGTCTAAAGAACTGGGTGTATCTGTAATTCAAGGATGACTTTTCTCACCTCTAAGTCTTTGAAACCAGGTGAAAAGCCTTTATCACGTGGTTAGACATCCGGATGGCTGTGAGAACAAGATGACTTCCTTAGACTTAGTTTTTCCCTTACTTCAAAAGTTGAAATTATTCCTTGATCTAAAGAATGGATGTTGTCTTAGCAGGCATGAAAACTACATTATCATCACCAAAACTTGTACATGGTCAGGTGTATGTCAGTGTAAAATACATAATCAGTAATTATGCAACAACTATTACAAGTATCTGTGAACAACTTAAGTAATAGTTAATAGTGCTTAAGATAACATTAAGGAAAAAAGCAAGATTAACTATGTACTCTATATAATTCTATTATTTAAAAAAGTAAACATACAAAATAAAAGACCCAAATGAAACTAGTCAGAAATGGTAAGTACTTCTTCTTTGCGATGTAACTTCTGTTTTATCTTTTTTTTTTTATTTGGTCGGTCATGAGGCTTGAACTCTGGGCCTAGGCGCTGTCCTTGAGCTCTTCCGCTCAAAGTGAGCACTCTACCCCTTGAGCCATAGAGCCACTTCCAGTTTTCTGGTGGTTAATTGGAAATGGCTGGCTTTGAACTGTGATCCTCAGATCTCAGCCTCTTGAGTAGCTAGGATTACAGGCATGAGCCACCAGGCTTGGTTCCTGTTTTATCTTTGTATTTCCTGAATTTTCCAATATTTTATACTAAGCATACAATATTTTAATTTTATTTTGTGCTGGTACTAGGTTGAACTCAAAGTCTGACATGGCTTTTCTGCTTAAGGCTAGCACGCTATCACTTGAGCCATATCTTCACTTCTGGCTTTTTGATGGAGATAAGAGTCTCATGAGCTTTACTGCCCCAGCTGGCCTCCTTTCTGAGTAGGTAAGATTACAGGTACTCACAATATTTTTATTTATTCATTGCTAGTATTAATATAGTTTTGCAGTGCCAGAGATCAATTCCAGGGTCTTGTGCATGCTAGGTAAGCACTCTGCAACTGAACTACATCCTCAGACCCTGATTTCATGATATGGAATCTCAATATGTAGCCCAGGCTGGCCTTGATAAGTCTTCCAAGTGCTGGATACATGTGTGTGCCACCATGCCTAAAATTTATTTATTTATTTATTGTCGGTCATGGGGTTTGAACTCTGGGCTTGGGCGTTATCCCTGCTCTCTTCAGCTCAAGGCGAGTGCCCTACTGCTTGAGCCAGCACCACTTCCTTTTTTTAATTTTTTGTTAGTGTAAACAATCCTGGAGAGTATGTGACACTATTTCTCATTGTTGATTTAGTGTGTGTGTGGTTGCTTGAACTATTCTAAACATTTCTTATTATGAATAGAAATCTAATTCTTTTTTATTTTATTTTATTTTTTTTTTGCCAGTCGTAGGGCTTGAACTCTGGGCCTGGGTGTTGTCCCTGGGCTCTTCTGCTCAAGTCGAACACTCTACCTCTTGAGCCACAGCACCATTTCTGGTTTTCTGGTGCTTAATTGGAGACAAGAGTCTCAGGGACTTTCCTGCCCCAGCTGGCTTTGAACTGCAATCCTCAGATCTCAGCCTCTTGAGTAGCTAGGATTACAGGCGTGAGCCACTGGCACCTGGCAGAAATGATTATTTACATCATCTACCCCCAAATCTTAGATTTGCTCTCTACAGCTATCCAGAATAAGTCTATACTGGCTATAGAGACATTTTGGAAAAGTTAGTTAAAACTTTCCTGTCTCTCACCTAACACTGTATCCCAACAGTTCTTTGTCACCCACATTTTTGATTTCACTGTCTCTAGCCAGTTTCTGTGACACATACACACACACACACACAATAAATACATATATACATTATATATATACTAGTGTGCATAATCATGCTGAATATATATATGTGTTCATACACATATATATTTATTTTATATTTTATGTATTTGTACATAAATATTTTAATACATACTTTTGTGGCTGAAATGTACTTTTTTAAAAAGAGGACATTTATTTATTTATTTTTGTTGGTTATGGGGCCTAAACTCGGCCTAGACGCGGTCCCTCAGCTCTTCAGCTCAAAGGCTAGTGCTCTACCACTTGAGCCACAGTGTCACTTGCGGGTTATTCTGCTTATGTGGTGCTGAGGAATTGAACCCAGGGCCTCATGCCTGCAAGGCAAGCACTCTACCACTGAGCCACCTTCCCAGCCCAGAAATGTACTTCTTACTGGGGCAATGGTTAAGACATTTGAAAGCCACTGTCCATCTCTCAGCCACATTAAGACAGTAACTAGTCCTCAAACTTGTTTTTGTTTACAATTGATCCCATACTTTCCTCAGTAAGCAAAGCATTCTCCTGCTCTCTGACTACTGAAACCCTTTAAGGTCCATATAGGATATTACTACGTCCCTGAAATCTTCCATTTCCCCTCATTGGTAACCCTAAAATGATGTCTCCAAACCTTTACTTATGTCACTTTACTCAGTCTGCCTTATACTATCATGATGTCTATACTTTCAGTTCTTGGACCTAGAGTATCTGGAGGGCAGGGTACTTTTTGCCAGCTCTGGTCTTCTGCAGGCTCAGAAGTGTAGTGAGGTCAATTGATGTTCAAAAATGTTAGCAAACTGATTAATTTTTGTATTTCCTCCCAGGAGTACTTTCTGGCATTTTTTCTTCTTCTAACTTCTTGACCATAGGCCTAGCAGGTATATCATCAATGTCCGGGGTCCGTGTTACCTCGAGGGCAAGTCTAAAAGCCAGTTTGCCTTGCAAACTTTCATCTCTTTTTAGTAGCAACAAGAAAAATAAAGTTAGCTCCTTTGTTTCAGTCTATGTCCCTCCTGTGCTATGCATTTTTTTTTTTCTGAGCAATGTTGATAATTAGGAATGGTTATCATCGTTAAAAAAATTTCCTAATGGCTATCATCCTCTGGCAGTATTTGCAATATATTTGCATATACGTGTTCATATATGTTACACACACACACACACACACACACACACACATTTTCCTTTCTGTTTATTGGCTGCAAACTCCAGAAATCAGAAATTATCCTTTCTGTCTTGGTTGAAATACAGTGTCATTTTCTTGAAGGTTAGGTGAATTTACTGACTTAGGGCTGAAAGAGTCTTTCTTCCCCCATCTCAGACTATTATTTATTGGTCTGTCTGTTTCATTCTCTGACTTTCCTCTCTCCTAGTTTCCAGGTGGTTAGCTATCCATTAAGGCTATCAAGGAGATGCGGTCCCTCTGGCCCTTTAAATAGGGGCGAGGTGTAGAGGCGCGGACCGCCTCGGAGAGAACTCGGCGGCTGGAAGAAAGCGGAAGCGTGGCTGGTAGTGGCCGAGTACTGCGCACGCGTAAAGCCAGGCCAGGGGCAGGATCACGTGGGCGCCGGGATCCGGGCCGGAATGGCTGGGAGCGCAGGTAACGAGTCTCCTCAGAGTAGAGAGTGCGGGGTATCGAGGATGAGAGGGGAGTCCCCGGGGTGGGCCGGAGGACGCGCGCGGGCGCTCTGAGCCCCGGTCCCCCGCGCGACCGTGGCGCCGCCTGGGGAGCTGACCGAGCCGCCCGGTCGGGCTGGGCGGCCCCGGCCGCCGGCGCGCGCCGCTGACCCCGGCGCGGAGGGGCGTGCCCTGCGCCGGGCCCCGGCCGGTCCGGCCCGGGGACTCCGCGCCTCCCTCGCGGTCCGGAGACTGGGAGGTGGGTGGCCCTGCCGCCCCAGGTCGGGCGCAGCCGCTGTGCAGCTGGCCCGTGGGGATGACCGCGTCTGTGTTCTGCATTCGAGTCTCTTCCTGCGAGGGGTACCGCAGAGCCAGGGTAGCAGGGGGAAACGTGGGGCGCGCTCTAGAGTGCAGGCACCTCTGTCTTCGCTAGTTCTCCAGGCGTGACACTCGGGGGAGGAAGGGAAGCGCTGCCCACAGTCTCTACATGGGCGGGGTGGGTGTGCTGCAAGGGAGGATGGAGTGACATAGAGGCGTGATCAGCATCACGGTGTGATCAGCATCAGCTAGGGTGCCTTCTCCGAATAAGCAGGCCTCTCTGCTCCTCCTTATCCCCCCAGACCGTGTTAGAATGCACTGGAAGGCTTGCATCCTCTCCTCTGCCCATTCTACCACTCCGTCCCGTCCCCACTCCACAGCAGTTAAGGATGCAAAATAAGTATGGATGTTAGCTTTTGGTGCTCTCTTTCAGATGTTTGTATTTAGGTGAAAATTGCATGTCAGTTGCAGATGTTGGGTTGCACTGGCGGGAAGTATATCTGTTATAAATGGGTATGGAGGACCTACATGTGTTTAAGATGCGTGTTTGCTTATGTTTAAATTTTAAGTGGAGGATATTGAATCCACTGGCCTGTTACACCAGATGCACCATGAAGACAGATGGGGGAAATGTGTGAACTATTAATATTCAGATGATCATAGAGACAAATATGAGTTCTTTACGACCTATAGCAGAATAGTAAGTTCATCTTCCTATGTGTTTCTTTGTACTTGGACCATCAGCAACAGGTGAATGCTATCTGTCTTTCAGGATATTGGAGTATGTTGATGTTCCTTAGGTGTATTCTATTTCACATTCATGGCACCAAATATCATCTATGTGAGTGAAAATTAAGGCCTTTTGAACTTTAAATAAAGTGTGTTTAACATATGATCTACTTATATAGTCTCATGGACTTTAGATGGGATGCTTTCATGACCTACGGTTTCAGATAACATCTTTATGTATTTATGAGATCAATCCTGAATTAAGGTTTGAGTTATAGTTATTCCATGTAGCATGAAAATTCATTGTGTATTCAAACCAGAAACCATAGATTTGCCTTGGATATACACTGTTAGGAATTTCTAAGATTTACTCTGGTAATACGCTTTTTAAGTGAAAGCTCTTTTCTGTTACTAATGACAGAAATCCAAATCAAATGAGCTTAAACAAAAAGAAATTTATTGGTTCACAAACTTGGGAAGGGGTAGGGCATCAATAACTACTAAACTTATTTTTTTCTTTTTTTGGGGGGGGGGAGCGGGGTCCTGAGGCTTGAATTTAGGGCCTGGGCACTGTCCCTGAGCCTTTTTGTGCTGTAGGCTAGCACTCTTCCACATGAGCCACAGTGTCACAGTGCCACTTCTGGGTTTTTCTGAGTAGATTATTGGAGATTAGTCTCAACAGACTTTTCTGCCTAGGCTGGCTTTGAACCATGATCCTCAGATCTCAGTCTCCTGAGTAGGATTATTGGCGTGAGCCCCTGGCACCCGGTTTATATCTTTCTTCCTCCCACAAACAACCTCTGACTCCTCAGTCCCCATCTCTTATTTATTTATTTTGTCAATTGTAGGGCTTGAACTCTGGCCCTGGGCGCTGTCCCTGAGCTCTTCAGCTCTAGGCAAGCACGGTCATTTGAGCCACAGTGCTCCATCCAGTGCTTTCTGCTGGATATTTGGAGATAAGAGTCTCAGGGACTTACCTGCCCAGGCTGGCTTTGAAGTGCAATCCTAGATCTCAACCTCCTGAATAGGATTATAGGCATGAGCCACTAGCATCTGGCTATCTCTGCTTCTTTAATTGCAAGTCTCATGATATGTGTGTGTGAGTCTCTTTCTACTATATAAGAGCTGAAAGATGGACTCCAGACAACTTCTGTGTTACATCATCCAAACTGTATTTTAGAGTAGAGGGAAAACTTGTGCTTCCAGTGTTTACAGATTCCAGAGAAGGGCTTGATTGGTCAGATAAGACATAAAAATGTTGTGTGCCTTACTCTTTTGGTTGAGTTCATTGGCACTTGTTTGACAGTACTACTAAAGTCCTATAGTTGGAGTTGAGGAGCAACTATCCAAAGATAGGAAAGATGCTGGAATATTTTAACTTTTGCTTCTGCCTCTGCAGTTCAGCAAGAAGCTTTCTCTTCTTACCCCAAACCAAAGAATAATTGTTGTGTGACTCTACATCTTTCTCAACATCTAACCAAGAGAAATTAGAATGATAGTTTAATTACTTGAGAATTAATAAAGGAAAGCCATCATATACTCAGTTAATAACCTATCTTTTGTGTATATAAATTTTAGGATTTTCTCTACATCAGTTATATGATGAGGAAGAGGGAGTATGATAGCCTGTGTGCAGAGCTTATCTGTGTACAGATCTTAGGAGATCTTGGGATTAGAGTCAATCTTCGAAGAGATTTCTCATAGTAGCAGAGACTTACTAGAAGCTAAAAAGAAGTAATTTCTCTCATTCATTTTACTGATCATTTCATACACATTGGCATAAAATTGATATAATAAATATGACACGGACATTTATAGATAGTGCTTTCCCATTTTATATATTCTGGTAGGGGATTAGAGCTTTCTTTTCTAGAATAGATGTTCCTTGAGTATTGCTTGTATCTGACAGTTTGAAGTAGTAACTCAGCATGGTGTACGGGCAGGTCTCAGGTACTGTCCTTTTCCTCCACTTTTCTTTTTTACATTTTATATATTCATATATATATATACACATACATATATACATATATATATATATATATATATTTCCTAAGTTTTTTTTTTTTTTTTTTGGGTCCGGTCATGGGGCCTAAACCCTGGGCCTGGGCGCTGTCACTCAGCTCTTCAGCTCAAGGCTAGCACTCTACCACTTGAGCCATAGCGCCACTTCCGGCTTTTTTCTTTTTTCTTATGTGGTGCTGAGGAATCAAACCCAGGGCCTCTGGCATGCAAGGCAAGCGCTCTACCACTGAGCCACGTTCCCAGCTCTGTTTCTGAACTTTAATCCATGGGTAAGATGAAAATTTGATATCCTCAAAGTATAATCTGGAAAGGAGTCACAGCAGAGACTGACCTGTGAGCTGTCTCTCAGGAAGTACATCACAGCCAGCTTTTGCTCTGTGTTGGAACAGCATGCTTCTTATTATTTTTAGCATAGATGAAGTAGACTGAGACTGACCAAAAGCACAGCACATATCCATCTCCTGTGTTCACTGTGAAGAATATAGTTACTGAGTGGAATAGTGTGGCTCTTTGTGAATCATTATTTTCTCTTTCTCTTTACTGAAGAATAGTAAGTGGAAGGGATATATGGTACATTCCTATTTTTCATGTGTGGGCTAAATTAATGTGAAAAAATACAAAAAGTCTGTGATTATGGAGTTGTGTTATATATGAGCTAAATTATTAAAAATTTATAGGGATTAAAAAAGTCTCTTTTAAATACAAACTTCTAGTAGAACTTTGACAGGTTTGGGGACTTTATAGTGACTAAACTGTCTCTTACACCAAGAACTGCTCATTGACATTCTGGGAGCCAGTGGTGCAGTGTTGCTTGGATACTCACCTATGGAGGGAGAGACAAGGGTGATTGGATTGATTAGCTACTGTGCAATTAGGCATTAAGATGGCAGTGAACAAAGCAGATCTGATCTTTGTTCTCTTGGAACCTGCATTCCAGATGTGGGGAAAGAATGGTGGTTCATATGGTGAAGAAATAAGCTGAACAAAAATTGATTAAAAATTTTTTTTTGCAGAAATAGTTTTTAAACTGATACCTGATAAATATGACCTGCAGTGGCTGACAAACTTGATTACATAAAAGTAGAAATCAATTATAAGTTGACTTGGGCATAGATTTCTGTATACTATGAGTGAAACGATACTTTCTGAAGCTTAACAATTGTAGATAATAAAAACTTACATGTTTAATTTGCAACACAGGTGTTACTCCTGTCTTCTGATTTTTGTATTAGTCAGCAAATATTATAAAATGTCTACATAGTATGTGAATTAGTAAACCCAGTGATAGGGAAGGAAGTGTGGCCCCATTTTTATTGCATAGTTGGCGAGAAAGACATAGTCATCTGGTAAGGTAACGCACTGCCTGTATTTCTAGTTGCCCAGGAGTTTGGAGGCCAGTCTAGGCAAAAAGTTCACAAAACCCTATCTCAACTAATAGATGGTCACAGCACAGTGGCATGTATCTGTCATCTCAGCTAGACATGTAAATAGAAGGATTGAAGTTCAGGCTGGCCAGGGGGAAAAGCAAGACCCTGTAACAAAGATAATAAGAGCAAAAAGGGCTATAGATGTGGCTGAAGTGGAGAGTGCCTGCTTGGCAAGCACAAAGCCCCGAGGTCAAACCTCAGTCTGTAAACACACACACACACAGGCACGCACGCACACAAACAACATGCCCAACTATTTGTAAAGAAGACTTGTTTTAACTGAATGTGGTGTCTTGTGTCTGTAATTCCAGGAGACTTAGGTAGGAGGAATCACAAGTTTGAACCCAGCCTGGGCTACTATGTGAAATGAAAGAGGGGCAGGGAGAGAGAGGAAGAGGGAAGGAGGGGGAGGAAAGAAAGTGAGGTACTGACTTTTTGGGCATGGAGAAAGAGGTTAGGGAAGAAACAGGTCATAGGAAGTTTCAAC